AACAGGACGAGCCGGACGATCTCTGGCTAACCCAGCACCGTCCCAGAGGAGACAACACACACACACATAATGGCAAACACTACATGAGAACAAATATGTTTAAAACCGTGTCAGCTGTGAGGTCAAGCAGATAGAATCAACAAGCAGCCAGCTTTTACTCCCCCCCCCCCCCCACACATTTTTTTTGTGACTTTTGGCTTGTTCCCAACCTTCTCTAATTCCAAATGTTAGAGCGAACATTGCCGGCCTCGTAATTCACATGTCACTTGTCATTTTGGAGCTGAGAGCACTGGGTGAAGGCAGTTGGTGTCGAGTTACAGCTGCCGGTGGTGGGCTTTTAGTATTGAACAATTTGCAAGAGCTTTGAATGGATTTTACTCGACAAGACGATATTGTTAATCAAATTTGTTTAAGTTCAGCTGAGCTTTTAGTGGAGATGCAACAGTCCTCCAAAATTATTGAATATGTTGAACTCTTGGTGGAGTGGGTTTTTTCCCTGGAGAAGAACGATCAAAGTCTTTAAAACAGAGGAATTGTAAGATAAAAAAAACAAATATGTAGGAAATAAAAACCCCGAAGGTGTTACGGTTTTAAACTCTTCAAGATAAGACAAGGATTCAAATATTTGATGTGCAGAACATATGGTTGATTTCTCCCCGTGACAGCCGTTATTCTTCCCTCATGGTGTATTTCCTGGTTTACACTGACCTGCAGGCAAAACACGAGGCCAGTGTTATGAAAACTCAGCTGTCTAGGCACACAGTGGTGCAAGATTTAATGTTAAAACACACACAAACACAAATTCATAAATAACCAATGGGAACGTTATCGGTTATTGGTTAAAATGATTCAACATTGGGGGATCTAAACATCATCATTCATTCAGGAATCATGTTTTCGATGGTCTGTTTTTTCGATGCAGACTGTGTTTTGTGTTCAGTGTTACATTAACAGACCGGACGTCAGCCAGTTAGCAGTATTGTTTTAGTTCTGTTTCCATGGTGATGTGTGAAACGCTGCGGCGGTCAGAGGTCAAAGGTCGGAGCCATTTGAAATATTTGGCAGCTCTGGAGAAAAATGTGAGAAAAGAAACACATACTTTACACTCACACACACACAGAGGTATTCACATGCACATTCACACTTGCAAACAGCCCCACCCACACACACACACACATTCACATGCGTACAGGGGTAATTAACTGTGTGTCACAGCAGGGAGCAGAATGTCAAACGTCTGTTGTTCAGCTGTTTTTGTATGTCATTGTATCTCACAAAATGGAAAATAATGGTGTTTGTTGCGAAACAAGCACCAGCAGTTATTTTATGAATCATAAATGATGAAAAATAATCACCCGTTCACTGAATTTGAAAGCCTTCTTGATTTGCGTATCCCGATATCTCCACTGACATGTGAGGCTGTGTAAAACACTTTTCATAGTGTGCATGTTAGAAAGTGACTCATGCATGCTGTTTACAACCTGCAGCAGTTAAGAAGTCAGCTTGATATATGACTCATAAAAAGATGGCCACAGTAAAGAAGGGCATTGAAAGTAACATATGCTAGATGGCCCAAAGTATATGGACACCAAAAACATCTATGAAGGCATCATTCAAAGTTAGAATTCCAGTTTATCTGAAAGGAGTTGGATTGATTTATGGTCAATAAAGGTAGGAAAACAGATTCTTTATGGGGTCTCTGTTCTTATAGGTTCAGTGCCTATTAACCATAGACACACGTTCAGAGAACAAGCAACAAAAACCCACAGCGTTCTTCTAGGTTGCACCTGAACAACAGCATGGGCTCCAACCAGCGTCAAACTGGCATGAGTCAGGGAAAAACTTGTTTTGGCAGCATGTAGCAGTTATCTATATAGTCATTCAATAAGGGAAGGAAAAAAAACCTGCAGAGATTTTCATCATTGTAGTGATAAAACCGTGTTTGTTGACATATTTCACACCGATCTCGCTTACAACTCAGATGTTTTTGTAATATATCCATTTATAATCATAAGTATGTTTGATTAAAAACACAGAAATGGCTCTGGTTCTGTTCGCGCTTCGTGTTTTGCCTCTGAGTAAAGCAAAAACAAGTCGTTTGCTTGCTTTTCTAACTCTTCCTGTGCAGTTTTTCGCTGAGCTGAACAGCCAATCACGTGGATCTTTCACACCGATGGACTCAGCTGACAATGCAAAACGCTCAATCGGGATACAATGCATAAAAACAGTTAGCGTCTCATCAGCCTGACAGTAAAGAGGAGGTGCTGAGATATGCTTAGGGTCATTTTTGTGTTAGAATAACTGTAATTACAGGTTTTTATTCTGGTTTTGAAAGAACAAAATGGAACGTCTTGTAGAGTTCAGACTTTAATTTATTTTCTGACACTCAAAAGGATTTCGAAGGTCTGCTGTCTCCTCTCTGTCAGGGACTTCACAAACTCGGAAACCACAAACTTTTTCTTCCACAAACACACAGATAAACACACGTACGCAGGTCAGCACGACACAGTGGAATCTGTGCGTCAGTCAGTGTTGCACATGGAAGAGGAGAGCATCTAGACCTCCTGCTTCCTGCTCTGCATGCTGGTCTGTGTTAAAGAGTGTGAGTGTGTGTGTGTGTGTTCCTCTACAAATCAAGGACATGAGGAGAAAAAAAAAAGGCTCTTCAGATTAACCTCTGCGGCCCACAGCCGAGAAACTCCTACAGCACAAAACACAGTGTGTGTCTGCGATGAATTACTGCCAAGAGATAAGAAATAAAAAAAAAAGTGTAGAGAAGAAAGAGAAGAAAACAAGAAGTGGTTGCAGGGACAGAGGGGAGGAAGAAAGGCTTTCTAAGTATAAGAGTCTGGCTCAAATATAAACATTATAAAAACCAGACAGACAGGAGGTGAAGTCGGAGTGTGAGAGTGAAACGGCCTTGATCACAGAGCACATTGCTTGAATGCAGTCGGTTATTGTGTCCAAGACAGATAATAAAGAGATTGCTTATATTCATTCAATTTTGCATTCTAAAGCTCCTACAAAAGGCTGAAATCTGAGTTCACGATCCTGGTAAGCGGCCCACAGCACTGGAAGACAACAAAGATGCCTTAATGCTTTCAAAAAGATCTGATTTATTTTTATAATCAAGGGTGTAAATGTTGAGAAATACAAGAAGACATTTAACATTTGAATAAAGCTTTTATTTGGAAACTGAAGAAGCCAGTTTTTTCCTAGGCGGTTGAATATGCTTGGACATCTCAATTTATTTCTTTAACTTCCATGAAACCAACGATGTGACATTTACACCCGCCTCAGGTGTTTGAATTTATTTCTTGCTCTCTCTTCTCTCTTTCTTGGCAAAGCTATTTCTGTCTTTCTTTCATGCATATTAAAGAGTGTAACACAAGGAATTTCTACTCGCAGAGATGTCTGAAAACGCACGGCTATAGTCACTCTTTTTTTCCCAGAGTTTGCCAGTGCCTACGTTTGAATCTGTGTTTGATGTCATGTCATCTCTCTGAGGATTTTAAATGTTAAAATTTGATCTAAATAAAAGAGTAGTTGTTTTGTGTATTTGGTACCAAGAGATACAACTCTTAAAAGTACAATAAAAGTTTAAAAATATATCAAAATGCCCCTCCATGCAGGTTCCGGCCTTCATGCCTTGTACCAATGTTTTACATCCTTACATCAGCAGCAAATCTACAAAATGATGGCGGAAACAGACTTGAGCCTGAGCTTTCTTTTGCAAAAAGAATAAACGCTCTAGCTGTTTTGTTTTTTTACGAATTTGAATTTTTTCCAATGATACCAACTCTCCTGTTTCTCTGCGACAGGCTGCTCGTCATCCCCACCTTGGTGTTTCAGTTTGGATCAGGTGTTAACACTCTGTGGTGTCCTTCTGTGTCGTATGAATTCCCCCGAGTATAACCTAATACAGCCACACAGGCATTAGTCAGATGAGTCAGTCATGGCCTGATTTACTCACAAAGTCGCCTTGGGGGCAAAAAAAAAAAAAAAAAAAAAAGCTGTTGGGTCACAACTGACCTCCTGTTACTCAGCTCTCTGTGCCTATGGATTTCAACACAGCTTAGAAATACACATAGAAGGGCTGCATGATCACAGGAACGGGTCACTCTGTGCTTTGACCTTTATCTAAAAATACAAATAAAACTGCGTTATTTGGCAGTATACGCTCATTCTTGAATTTGATGCTTGCAAATGATGTATTGTCTCTTATTATATTGTTTTTATGATCAGGGTTGGACATCGGGTGTCTGAATATGTAGATTTCCCTGCAGTCCATAGTCAGATATAGATTTTAACCAAAGAGGACTATGGTGATAAATTGTAAATCACAAGGCAATCTGATCTTTGTTAAACCTGGTTGAAAATTTGGCACTAATGATGAAACATAGTTTAAATCAATGAAACACAACTGTTGTTTATGTTTCTGTTAAAAATTTATTACTTTTTCAGTTTCGGGACAACTCAGACTAACCTGCATTTAATTCTGCTGTTTTATAGGAAACAGTCTCCTCTTTACTCCTAACTCCGGTTGAAATACATCTTTCTCTCTGTTCTAATCAGCTTAAAAAGGTTTATAAAGTCTTAAGTCAAAGTTGCTGAGACAAGCAGTCGCCCCGTTCCTTCTCGCTGCCTCGCGTCAGTATTCTTTTGGTCGCCTGTCGCCTGCAGCGTTAGGTTTGTCTTTCTGTCAGAGCGTTGGACTGGCAGTGGGAAGAAGTCATCATTCTGTGCTGCTCGGCTGCTCTCTGCTAACTGCAGCCGGCGGTGATACCGGGCCTGCAACCTCTTCACCCCCAGGTCTCACAAATAACAGTTCCAGACGTGTTTAGTGGCCCAAGGAGGCAAATTCAACCATCTATTGCTGAAAGCTGTGACATAAATCTGAGGAAGAAGAAGCTCAGTGGAGTCTAAGTCAGCCTCCTGCCTGTTTGTTGTACACAGTTTAAGTGACATCAGTTAATCTGTTCTCTCTTATTTTATTCCAGAGTTGGCGGAGACATGGCGGTGCTGAGGTGGAAGGTCCTGCTGTTCCTGGCGATCACCTTCATTGTTTCTTGTGTCGGTGCGCCCACTGACATCCTGTATCGGGTTCCTGAGGAGCAGCCTCCCAACACACTGATCGGGAGCCTGGCGGCAGACCAAGGCCTGCCCGACACCGGCCACCTCTACAAGCTGGAGGTGGGCTCGCCGCACCTGAGAGTGGACGGAAAGACCGGTGACATCTACACCACAGAGGTCTCCATCGACCGCGAGACGCTAAAAGACTGCCGAAACTTGTTTGAAGGCGACAAATGCTTCCTGGAGTTTGAGGTGTCGATCACAGATATGGTAAAAGGTCTCGGTTCAGGGCCGCGGCTGATTGAAGGACGCATCGAGGTGATGGACATCAACGACAACACGCCGCAATTTGCCTCCCCCATCCTCACCCTTTCCATCCCTGAGAACACGCACATCGGCGCCCTCTTCTCCATTCCCATGGCCTCTGACAGGGACTCTGGCTCCAATGGCGTGGCAGAGTACTCGCTGAGCACCGGGTCGGACGCAGACCAGCTCTTCAGCCTGCAGGTCGCCGTGGACTCAGACGAGAAGCTGCCTCAGTTGGTCGTCATGGGGAACTTGGACCGAGAGAAGAAGGACTCGTATGACCTGAACATCCGGGTGGTCGACGGAGGGACGCCGGCGAGGGCGAGCAGCGCACTGTTGCGGGTCACCGTGACTGACCAGAATGACAACGCACCAAAGTTTGAGAGGAGTCACTACGAGGCTGAACTGCCGGAGAACAGCCCGCTAGGACACTCTGTGCTGCAGGTCAGTACATACATCAACCGTACATTTGAATTTCATGAGCATGAAGGAATATGATGTAGATGGAGGGGTCTCCATAATCCATGCCAGTCCATCATACATTTAACCATATTGTTCATACATATTTCCCTTTTTGTAGTCCAGAGGAGGACCGTTTTAAATCCTATATCTACAAAGAAAAAGTTGTGACCCTGACCTTTAAACAAACCAGACTCCATTGATAAAAGCAGCAATTTTACCTTGCAGAACGAACCGTGATCAGTTTGCTTTTTCCATCCTTGAATTTGGTTTTTAAAGTTTATTTGTATTCAACATCATATTTTTGCAACAGAATAGCTCAACAAAATAGCACATAAAGTTGGTGCTGGACCAGCAACCTCTGTGTCCTCAGAGGTAAAAGTATAATTTTTGTCAATGGAGTCTGGTGACTTTAAAGTAAACGGTTGAATGGCTACTTGTGGTTTAGAAAGAGTGCCTCGCTCACCACAAGAGGTTTTTTTTTCTCTCTAAAAGGATCATTTCTGTAATGTTGCCAGATACTTAACAGCCAATAGTGATCTGAATCTGATAGTTATTGAAGAAATAACTTTAAACGCATTGCTTTGATCAGGATGATTACATCTCAGCCAGCTCATGGCATTTTGTAGCTTTTGGCTGAAGCAATTCATTAGAAATGATTCCAAAACCTTTTGTACTTGTTAGTTTTTTTAGACCTCCAATAAATCAAACAGTACCCAGGATTAAAATAGCACAATTCCCTTTTCATATTCTCTCTAGAAAAGGCCAAATGTGATGATGTTTATCTTCACTTAAAGTGTGAAAAAAGAAAACGGCAATGGCTGCTCGGATGGAAGGAATCCAGCTAAAATATGCTGCCTTTGATTTTTGAAAATATACACATGGAATGGTGAACATATAAAAACTCAGCATAATGAATCTTAAAAGAGTGAGTCAAAAGACTGGGATAAACATGTCTGTGCCGCCATTGGACAATTTAAGCAGGTCAGGGTCCTGAAGTCAAGCACTGTCCCGCTGCCGCTAAAGCATCACTTCTCAAACGCGTGTAAAGTGAAATGAATTCAGCGGCTCTCTGAAACGCAATGAGCCACATCCAGAGCAATAATACCAATAAGCCCCGTGGATAATCTCATGACTGACTCAGATTAAGTCATGCACGGCTCACTGGAAGGCTGGCTGGTCGCGTCGCACTCAGGGAGAGGAAGAGGTGGATGATACAGTGAGGTGAGTTTTTGGCAGGGTGTTCGACCCAGCTAAACAAAGCTTCCAGCCCGGCGACATCACATACTGGCCGCCCCTGGTTTGAAGGCTCAAAGGTGAAGTTGAATCAGTAGTTAATATGTGACTACATGCAGGGATCCCACGCCCCTGCTTCACCTCCACCGCACCATCTGTCTGTATGGATAATTGAGCAGCATATTATGTGCAGTCACTGTGCCGCGTTGTCCTGCAGCTCACAGTGTTATCACTAACCCGGGCCAAAGGTTTGTCTGCAGTGTTTGGTGGACAAGACAATTCAGATACATGCAGAATAAAAGTTATCCTGATTAAAACTTTCTAAATTATTTCACTCTGAAATATTCTGTGTTTTCCAATGTCTTCCATAGAAATTATTTCATCAGTGGAAAAACTGTCAATTTTCTCAATTACTCTTCTAAGGATTTGAGAGAATCTCGTAAAGGGAAACTAAACAATCTCCTTATTAATCAGTCAAAGAATTCTTAAAATAATAAGGCAATGGAAGCTGAAAAACCAATTTTGCCCAGATTGTTGGCATCCTACATTTCTTCTGAAAGCTACTGAAGTCTGAGCAATATTTGCATTGGAAAAATATTCCACTTATATTGACGAATGGACAAAAAAGCTCTTAAGTTCAAAAGGTAACACTCAAGAATTAATCCGTATTTAAATGTACTCTCTGACCTATTTTGCTCGAGAAAAGAGTCATGTATGTGTAATATTTGCTCTGATTTGATAGACTTTTGTCAGTTAAATATTGCTCAATGTGAACTCCAATGTAAAACGTGAAACTTGGCAGTCTGATGCCCTGATTTCCCCTTCAAATTAAATGCACAAAGTGATTTTTAAGTTAAAGAAATGAACCACAGCCTTGGTTAAATCAGATGTTTTGTTTTCAAGACAATATTTCTCTTTTGAACCTGTGTAAAGTATTTGTCCTTCATCTAAGCTAAAAAAAAAAATGCTGTTGCTGTGAAATCTCAGTTCCAAAGTCCAGTTTAATCAAATTATCTGAGCCGCTGATCTGGAAGAGAAAACTGAACTGAGCGAGGTTTGTAACACTGAATGAGAGCTCATTATAGCAGCAGAACAGCTGTAGAGAGTTAAAAGGCTTGACTGGGACTTAACATTAACAACAAAGTGTGAAGAAATGACCCATGAGACTCTGACTGTTTTATTATGTGATTGAAGTAACCTGTCACATTGTTCTAAGATCTCTTCTAATCTATAGAAATCATTTGTAGTACTGACATGGTCATGTTCCCTAATGACTTGCCGCCAGATTTTCATAAAAGTCACAAAAACATTGAATAAAAAAACAAAATCCATCTTCATAATAAGCAGACAACTTGGAATAAAACAAGGCTTTCAGTCTTCTGGATGAACTAACTATGAAATTATTCAACTATTGGTACCAAATCTACATCTCATCAGCACCATTTCTCTTTCTTTTTTTTTAAACAGGAGACATTTCTGACAAGCAATTTAAAAACTACTCAAAATAGCCTGCCCCATTGACCAACACCGCTATAATGTATTTAAGTGAATAATACGATTGGATAAAAAATATCATGGATGAGCAATCCGCAGTAAAATAAATCAATAAATTAATGGTTTCATTTAATAAACATTCTGCAGAAAGTTTTTTGTAATAAAACATGCAGAGTATCTGGCGGCTTTATTGATGAAACCAGTCTGCCTGGCTGGTTAATTGTTAACTTGTAGATAAGCAGTGTTTATATTTGCTGCTCGCCCCGACACAGCGGCCTTGGAGAGAAGCCAGCACAGCTCCGACCCTCATCACAGCGGCACTTTGCTCCAGCAGCCCAACTGTTCAATACACAATTCTCAGAACCTGTCAATAATTCACCTCTGTTTGGTGATGTCTGCTGCTTAAAGCCGCTCTGGAGGAAAGGAAATCAATGGGCGGGAGGAATTACAATTTCACTTTCATGCTTTCTTTAACCTTAACCTCTCCGCCTTGGATCGGTGACTTCCAGGTGCCACCCCTCGAGGTGTGCCAGTGTGTTGGTCTGTCACAGTCCTGAGCAGATAGGAAACTTTTTTACAGTACATATTTTGAATTTATTATGTGCCAGTGTGCGCTAGAGACTCTGTTGGCTGTGCTCCTCTTTTAAACCATTTTTACGTCCTAAAATGTGAGATTATATTTTCATTTGCAACAATTGTACATGTTAAATATTCTTCTTGTTTGATCAACTATTGGCTGTAGCCTATAATTCACCCTGCAGACTAAAGAGTGGCATCAGTGATCTCATCTGTACTTACCAAAATGTAAAACTATTCCTTAAAAACAACAATCATCTCTGCTTGAATTTGTTTGTTTGAATAGGCTTTATCAATCTTTACCCTATTCACTAGAAGATTTCTTTTTCTTGTAGCTTTTAGGACTTACATTTTAGAGGATTATTATGCAGGCTTGGCTCAGATTTGGTTCTGCTTTAAAGGGAATAATGGCCTTAAAATTTAAAAGCCCTAATTACATTAATGTAAGTCCTAGGTGAAGCCTGTGGAAAATGCTTTATCAGCACTACCTGGGACATGTAGATCAGCTGTTCATCAACTAAATTTTATTCTACAGTGACCTACATTCCTAAACAGTAGCCATGGCATTGAATTAATACAATTTCAAAGTATTAGATGTGTTGATAGCAATGTGACCGAACAAGAACTTTATTAAGTGATATTCTGCTGACTAGGATTGTACCTCTTAATTGTCTAATTACCTCCATTTAGTTTTGGTTTAGGCATACAAAGCCGGATTGTAGTCAATGGTCTCTCCTCTCTAGTCTTCTAATGGGCCCTGAGGAACAGGGGCTATTGTTATAATGAGAGAAACATTAACATTCACTCATCTATCCATTAGATACCAATGACCCGTTACATGGCAGTCAGATGTTGTTGTGTGGGCGTTTGCACTCAGCTTTGATCGTCTGTTTTGTTTTACACACAGCGGAACATCCCCCCCCATCATCTCTCACTTATTTAGGCTTTTTTTTCTCAGTGCATCAGCTAAGGACCTAAACTATCACAATGGCTAATTGAAGTATTGTGCAGGGGGAATGCAGGGTTCTTGTCAGGCAGTGTATGATTGTGAAAGTTAAACTTCTTTTCTTGTCCTCACAGGTCAGAGCAAATGATGCAGACACTGGAACCAACGGAGAGATAGACTACAGCCTCCATCAGGCCTCAGAGACCGTCCAGAGGCTTCTACGCATTGACCGCTCAACCGGCATCATCTATGTCAAGGGTCTAGTGGATCGCGAGGAGGAGAACTTCCTCAAGTTCTTTGTGGTTGCCAAAGATCGTGGGCCAAACTCAAAGAGCTCAAAAGTCCTGGTGACCATTGTTGTGAGGGACCAGAATGACAACGCACCAGCCATCGAAATCCGTGGAATTGGCTTGGTAACACATCAGGATGGCGTGGCCAACATCTCTGAGGACATGCCCATAGGCACTGCTGTGGCGTTGGTCCAGGTTTCTGATCGTGATGAGGGTGAAAATGCGGTGGTGACATGTGTGGTTGCTGGTGATGTCCCATTTCAGCTCCGACCTGCAAGCGAGTCAGCTAATGATCGCAAGAGGAAATACTTCCTGCAGACAACTACCCTGCTGGATTATGAGCGTGTCAAGGATTACAGGATTGAGATTGTTGCTGTGGATTCTGGGAACCCAGCCCTGTCCAGCACGAACTCCCTTAAAGTCCAGGTCACAGATATGAACGATAATTCACCAAGCTTTTCCCCAGTGCTGCTTGAGGTGGACTTTTTTGAGGGCAACCAACCTGGCGACAAGGTCCTGGATGTCATTGCTACAGATGCAGACAGTGGCACAAATGCAGAGCTAGCGTATAACATCATTGAGCACTCGGCCAATAAGCTCTTTGAAATTGATACCCACAGTGGAGTAGTGCGTGTGAAGAACCTGCTAGATAGGGAAGAGACAGAGCGGTATGAATTTCGTGTGGCGGCAGCAGACAAGGGCGTCCCAAGCAAAACTGGCACTGCTACAATTGTGATAAATGTTCTGGACCGCAATGACAATGACCCCAAGTTTATGCTTAGTGGCTACAGCTTCTCTGTCATTGAAAACATGGCGCCTCTCAATCCTGTTGGGGTAGTGACTGTCACTGATGAAGATAAGGGGGAGAATGCCCGAGTGAATCTGTTTGTGGAACCAGACAATGGCAAGTTTGTTATCCAGAATGGCACAGGAACGATTCTGTCCCACATATCCTTTGACCGTGAAAAGGAAAGCACTTACACCTTCCGCCTGAGGGCTGTTGATTCTGGTGACCCACCTCGGTCGTCATATGTGGGTGTGACCATCAATGTCCTTGACGAGAACGACAATGCCCCCTATGTCACCAAACCAGCAAACTCCTCTTACACATACATGTCCCCTATCACACCAACAGAGACTCGTGTGGAGGTGGTGGAGGCTGAGGACATTGACTCTGGACTAAATGCTGAGCTGGTCTACACCATCACAGGTGGCAACCCATATGGGCTGTTCCATATCTCACCGAGCAGTGGGGAAATAACTCTGGCACAGGAGTTCACTGGGAAACACAATGGCCTGCACCGCCTTGTGGTGAAAGTCAGCGATAAAGGCAAACCTCCCCGTCACACCACGGCCCTGGTCCATGTTTTTGTCAATGACACCAAGTCCAATGTCTCCCTCATTGAGGCACTGGTCGGACACAGCCTCTACACTCCTTTGGACAGGGACATTGCTGGAGACCCAAACTATGCCCTTGCTCAGCGCAGCAACATCCTGTATGGCAGCCTTGCGGGTATTGCTGGTGTGATTATGGTCATTGTTGCTGTGGTTGTCATTAGACATCGTCTTCAGAAGGACACCAAGAGCGGCTACCAGGCTGGCAAAAAGGAAAGTAAGGACCTGTATGCTCCAAAGCAAGGCCCCAAAAATGGTAAAGGGAAAAAGAGCAAAAAGGGGAAAGCTCCCAAACCGGCTAAGCCACTAGAGGAGGACGAGGAGGCCAGCTTACAGAAAGGCCTCAAGTTCAACCTCATCAATGACACTGTCAACGACAGTCCCAGAATCCACCTTCCCCTTAACTACCCACCAGGAAGCCCTGACTTGGGCCGTCACTACCGCTCTAACTCCCCCCTACCCTCCATTCAACTACAGCCTCAGTCACCCTCTGCCTCCAAGAAGCACCAGGCTGTTCAGGACCTTCCCGCCACCAACACCTTTGTGGGAACGGGCGACAACAACTCAACAGGCTCCGACCAATATTCGGATTACAGCTACAAGGCCAACCCTCCAAAATACAGCAGCAAACAGGTAGGAGAGTACGCAAACACGCCAATGTACCACAGGGACATTTATTGGACCAACCAGGTGTGGTAGTCGAGCTGGGACTTATTTGACAAAGCCGATATCCTTCCACCAAAGCTGCACTGATTCCCCCCTCTCACAGCACCCACTTCCTAACGGCAGTTTAATTCTTGCTTTGGTTCTATTGTGTTCAACCATTTTTGTTCTGTTCTGTTCAGTTTTTAATTTTATTTTCACCTTGACATGGACACCACAACATCCACTCCATGAAGGATTTCATATGGGATAGACCAAATATGGGTTAACCAATATTTATCTGGTGATAACAGCCCAGAATGAACTCTGTCGATGAGAAAAAACTGAAGGGTTGTTTAAAACACTGTTTGTTGGTTTCAATTTCTCCACAATTGCATGTTAAAATGTTCACCTGTTATTTAATCAAGAACTTCTAAAAGTTTGGAAACTTTTCTATAAAAAAGGAAACAATGATTTGAAATACGAACAATCCCATATGGGTCTATCCTTAACATGTTTTTCATTTTGTTATGTGTGTTTAGTTTTCACAGTAGGTTAAATGAAGGAGGTTATGAGTTTTTTGTTTTTTTGTTCACAAGTGTTTTGAATCTGAAGTTATTTGTGCAGCCATTGATGGAAGGGTTCACACTGACATCCTCATTAAGTCTGAATGTGTTTTTCTTTTCCTTTTTTTTTTTACTTGTCTGGAGAGCTGACTCAAGTGTTTAGAGCTTCTTTTTATGGCCGGATCAGCTTGTTGAAGTGTGACAAAGAGCAACTGTGAATTCCTGAGTTAGTTTGGTACCCACATTTTTATTGTTCCTTGGCTTTTCTTTGGCCAGGAACTAGACTAGGGCTGAGGAGCCACTTTAGAGTGTTTCCATCCAGTTCGGACCAATTTAAGGTAATTTCAGCTCGGTCAGGAGCCAAGACGTGAAGAAAGGAAGAATGAAAGGGAATAAGAAGGAGAAAGGAGGGTGTGGGGGTTGAAAAAGCTACTACACTATGAAGGAAAAGGTACAGTAAGACAAAATACAACCATTTTGTAACCTCTGCACCTCCTGTCAGGTCGGCTGAAATACGTCTTTTAATTTTGCCGTGTTCCCAATCAGTGGGGTTTAAAAGTCAATTGTTTGCACAGATTAATGGCAGGTAATTTTCCAGGCGCCCGCTTTCGCCTTCTTTTACCCAGAGTGCCTTGCTCTTTTCTATTTAATGTACAAAAAAGGGGGTTGTTGGGGAGGGTTGGGGATCATTAACTGCGTGATGGTGACGAGCTTATACGCTCATGTCGTCATGTTCTGTGGCTGTGAAATTTGAAAAATGTCACGTGCACTGTGAAAAACCATGAGACAATCGCTTTGTTATGTTCAGACTTGTACATATATGTGAATGACATACATGATATTTTTGTTTTGTATTTTTTCATCAGTTGCAACATTACTGTGTTGTCCTGTGAGTGTGTGTGTGTGCTTAACAAGGGCATATCTTTATTTCCCTGCTTCTTAAAAGACTTACCAAAGACTCACACACACACACCTGCATATTCACTGTCATCACCATAACAAATATTCGCTTAAGTTGTGTTTTGTAACATTCCTGCCGGTGTTAGCATATTGCTAGGGCTCCTGCTGGGTTAATATTTAGCCTGTTAACACTCCAAGGCGTGACACTTCACAGGCGTCCACACGGATTTACAGACACACGCGACATCACGTCTGCTCCATCACACACCTGCTCAATCATGTACTCTGCTTCTTCTGCTCTGGGGAAATGTGTACATTGTTATTTTTTGTTTTGTTTTTTACAGCTTAAAACAAGATTTTTATTTCAATAAACATGTTGCATAAATGTTAAAGTGGCCCTCTCTTTGCATTCACTGGGTGGGGGTTATAAACAGGGTACTGGGAGCGTTGGGAAAGGTGCAGCTGTGAGAGAGGTAGAAGTATCTCATTTTTCATTTCCATCCTTCACACATGGAGAAGAATGTACGAGGTGCAATCACAGGATAACTTAACTGGCAGTAAGTAACAATAGTGCAAAACAATGAAGTGAAAACAACTCGTTTTCAGTAGCTTGTACTATGTAAGGTGCTGCACACTTGAAAGTATGTCAAGGTAAAAATGTTTTAGTGTTAACACCAAAGAAAAGGCTTAGTTAGTGCAAAGAAAAAATTAGTAGGCGAAAATCGAAAAGGAAAATGGAGAATAAAAGATGTAATGTAAAAACATAAACGTGAAATATGATAATGATGAGTGAAAATAAGAGGTGTAACATATGAAGTTAATATATTAACTTAGGGAGCAGGACTACGCCCAAACCACATGTTCAAGTACCTGACAAGCCTACTTATACTGAGCCATTCCACTCCACCCTGTTTGTCTCATTTCTTCGACCCACCCTCCCTTCCCTCCTCTCATCCATCCACCCCCCTTCCTCAACCCTTCATCTCGTTCGTCTGATTCTAGGCACAGTCTGGGCTGTGATCAGCTAGGGCAGAACTACGCTTGAGACGGGACCCCCCCCCCCCATGCCGTGTCTCCCTCTGCCCTGCATTTTCAGTCCATCCTTCCAGACCGGCCAACTGACAACATCCTCTTCCATCATAATCATTACCTTAACATTCATTCATTTGTCTCAACATTCATATTATCTTGACACATATGGTTGTTGCATGGTCCTTGCTAGTGAAATTTTAATTAAGTACAAATACCATATCGTCCTTTAAACTTACTATTTAGGTACAACTTCTACATCTAAACTCTAACTCATGAGTAAAAGTAGTATTAGCACGAGTTACAATATAATTCAAATTTAAAAGTAAAAGTACTCCCTACGCAGCCAAACTGGACTGCATTAAAATATTAGAATATTGATATCGATGCTTACTTAATTTATTCAATACTGTTTCATTGTTGCATTTTACTTTGTTTGCTTCTTGGAGTTTATGAAATCTTGCTCTGCAAGGTAACTCCAGGTTTCTGATAACAGTAGTTGAGGATAAACTTGAATATTTTCCAAAAATTGAGTAAAATTACCATCATACTAAGAATTCATCTGAATGATTTACTTGTACATGAAAAAAAATGTTGTTAAAACTTAGTTTCACTGTTCTCCAGTCAATCAAACATTGTCATTAAATTTAAGTGAAAGTGGTAAAAAAAGATTTGAAGAAGTCTTAAAATGAACTCAGAGAGTCTCTGATGTTCCCGGACAAAGACACTCACACACACTAGACGATGAAACAGCAGACAAGAGATCAAAACAACGCAGAGCAGGTGCCGAAACCTGCAGGGGTTAAAGGTCAAATATCACTCAGACACAGTTATTAGCGACCAAGAGTGAAGAGGTCAGAGGTTAATGAAGTCAAACCAACCCCTCCCCACCTCATCCCCACTTCTCTTCCTCCCCCCTCCTCCTCATCAGGACTCTACATTAACAGTCCGAAGTCATCCTTCCTGCTTTTATGCTGACCAACTCGGCTGTCTCTATGGTAACACAACGACCTGAGTGTGCGTGTATGTGCTGACTCATAGTACTGACCCCCCCCCCCCATCTCCAGCCCTGCTGCCTCCATCCAGTCCAGCACAATCCCTCCTTCTATGGAAAGCTCTGGCGTTTGAATGGCGAGAGATGAAGAAAGCGAGTGTGTGTGTGCGAATGTTGCCTGTCACTCACTTTATATAAGCCGCGAGCAGAGTGTTTGTTCCTCTCTCCCACATACCGACTATGATTTCATGGATTGCAACAGTCAGAGTTACATATTTACATGTAAATAAAAAGAGAAATGTCAGATTTTAAGTAGCATTTTTAATCATTTTAATCCTTTGAAGAGTATTTAAATTCAGATCTTTGAACATTAGCTTGCATCAACAGGGATATCAAATTGCACCAGAGGGGTTTCCCAGAGAAAGCTGCAGAAAATTGGAGAGGGAAAGATAAAAAACTGTAAATACCAACAACAGGGTGTGAAAAATTCCTTCTGTCTCGACACTACTTTGTCGTAGGTCAGCGTATCACTACGCCTGCAGCCTTGCTCTCGTATCACGGCTCCTCTCAGCTGTCTGAAGGAGAACAGGAGGCTGCAGCCTGTTCTCACAACCAACCACTTCGTCCAAATCTGCATTTTTCCCCTCTGTTGTTTTTCTTCAGTTTAATTCATAATCTGTTGCCAAAAAACAAAAAAAACAAGCTCAAGTGTTTCGCTCAACAACGCAACAAAAACAACGGAGCTGAAGGATAAATATTTAAAGGATTGACGTTAGTTCAGCCAGGGATGAGTAAGTCGGGTTGTCGGCCGCTCCATCACTTTGACATCTCAACAATAATTGGAAGGATTGGCCTGAAATGTTGTGCAACTTTTACATTTTTCAGAGAGGATGAAAAATGTACTTCACATGTACAATTTCTGTAGCTTCATTAGATCTGTGTTGGATTTAGACTTTGATGCAACATTGATGGTGATGAAGATATTATACTTTAGCTTGAATGTGCATTGCAGGTATGTTGAGTTCAAACATACATTCAGCCTGTTGACAGAACATGCAATGTTGACAACTATAACTTTGATTGGCTTGCCTTGCACAACAGAAACTAAAGAAGGCATAGACAAAATGCCAGTTCGTTGCTGAAGCCTGTTGGATTTCACCTAAAGCAAAAACTTGAATGGTGTTTGCCAGTCTCAAATGTCTACAACATCTGAAAACATATATTAAAACATAATGCAACACTTTTGTAATCCAACTTGATACATGTAAAAACTGGATTTAATGCTAAAACTGCATTTTTTTTTGTTTTTGTAAATTGACACTCTTAGTTAGATGCCTGCAAATTTATATTTAACGGTCCCAAGGATTCTTGGTATTAAGGTACTTTAGGCTGATTGTGCGTTTATCTTTATAGCACCAGGTGCAACATTTATGTCTTGCTACCACTCCATCTTCCTTTTTTCAGTTGCCATTTTTTTGAAGTACACAAACAAACCTTGAAAAATTCAACACAGAGGAAAATAAACTGGCTGTTATGCTATATAGCTCCAAACGATGGCATAGATTCAAAGCAAAATACCCAGCAGAACTGGAGCCTTCAAACTCATGGCTCTCTTTCTCAAACCAGACTTCTTGGATTCTGTTTTTTTTTTTTTTTTGTTGTTCACCTGTACTTGAAACAACCCACCCACCCACTCGCTGACACTTCCAACAGTGCTCCACTCTGAACTGAACGCCTTTGCAATAACGTAACGGCTACAGCGGCACAAGGTTGAATAAACAGAGGTATTTTTACGCCCCATCAAAAAGCCCTGTAATAAATGTAACAAATAAATATGTGAATCAGCCAAGTGAGTTCAGTCTGTAGGAGTTTGTTCCCACCCTGGATGTCGGGTTCCCAGATCTGACAAGACAAATATTTCTGTTGCACAACATCTTTTTTTTTCTTCTAGACTTTCTTTACTTTTTCTGTGAAAAAACTCGGACCACCTGAGGCTGCGAACAAATCCTTGAGTAGACAGGAACTGAGAGAGAAAAATCAATCTTTGGTTGAATTGTTCATAACTCATGTTAATACTTCATTCCGAGGGGTCACGAACCAAAGAGACTTGGAACTGCTTCTCTGTAGCTTTAAGAGGATATTTTTCTCTGTGAGGTTTGCTATGAAAGAGGCAAAATACACCTTACTGTCAGACTGTCAGCCTCCCTTCAAAAGATTCGACTTTAATCTCTGCCAACTGTATGGATGAAATATTCAGTAAAGCCATTAAATAAGGCATTTTCTACCACAAACCCTGATAGTGATCACTTTGCTCTGCTTCAGTTACAGCCCGTGAAATGATCCCCTATTGAAAACAGGTGTCCTTTTAATAGGAAACATGTGTTTCTGCTGGTTGACAGTCCAACCCAACAGACAGAGGGCTTCCTGGTTCTCCAAGGTGTCCGACGAGCTGTCAGAAAAAGAAACTGTAATGGCAACCATTAGCCGGGCAGCTGGAGGCTTTTTCTCCCCAGAAAATTGCAGTCATTTCACTTCAGGGCTAAAAATGTCATCTTTCATCAGTCAGACACAGCTGAGAGGAAGGTTAGAGGTGTATATACCGGCACCTCACTCGGCAGTTACTTCAGCTGGAGAACAGCTATACGACTAGAGGCATCGCTCAAATAATGACCACCTGTATCTCTCTGTAAACAAATTCTCTCCACGCTGATGTTTCTCACCATGGAGAGTTCTGAAATAACCCTTTAAGTGAGCTGAGAGAACACAAAGGTTCCCTGACCAATGAAGGAAGGACAGAATGAGAAGAAAATGCATCCATAACTTCAGTAAAAGTACAAAAAACGCAACATGAATATATCTTTTTACAAGTAAATTCCACTATTGAAAATGGTGATTGTGCATTAAAACATCAGCACCATCAAAACCCCAAATTATGGTCCCGACCCACCCACAAAAAAAACCTGAACCTAAAAGATGAATGAGTCAAAATAGTTCTCAGTCTCATCTTCACAACTACTTTTTCCCCCAACATATATCATGTGTTCAGAGACCAAGTTCTGATTTTGCTTTGCATGGACTTGAATCAAAATCGGTTTTGGCTTTCAAAATGTTGGTTAGGTACAAAGTATCTTTACTATTTCAGCTCTATTACTTACTTGATATCTAAATTTAGTGAATGAATACATGCACAGCCGTCGTAGTGGCTCAACTGAAGTTCAGGGGAAGTGTGTTCTCACAGGTTGGAACAGGTAGAGATGGAGATACATCTCTCAGTATCTCCAGTTTGGAAGGCTGAGTGTGTGTGTGTGTGTGTGTGTGTGTGTGTGTGGGGGGGGGGGGGGTTCTGGTCACAAAGGGGCCTTTG